GAGGCCGTGTCGGTCAGGGTCCCAGAAGAAAACTGAATCCCATGCAGGTGGGTCAAGGGACTTTAAAGAAGAAACTTCTCTCAGAGTGTGGACACGGTTAGGGGTATGAGAAGAAAGGTTGATGCACAAAGAGAGTGGCCACACAGGGAAGTCATTACTACCCTTAATAAAGGCTTAAGAACTAAGATTCTTAGACCTAACAGGAGAGTCCTCCCCAGCGGGATTCAAAACCGACTCCCTCTTGCCCTTCCTTCCACTAAAGCCCAAAAGAGCGATTGTAATCTCAGTGGCAGGCTTCTAACATAAGGAGTGACGAGACCCGCACATCCTTCACAAAGTCATGTGGCCTCCCACAGCGAGAGCTCTAAAAATGTTTACACCCTTCAACCCAGGAAACCTAAATCTGGGGATTCTTCCTAAAAAAAAGTAAGATTTTTTTTTAGCCTTTGACTTTTTTCCTTTTTAAGATTTATTTATTTGAGAGAGAGAGAGAGAGAGAGCATGCAAGCAGGGAGAGGGGCAGAGGGAGAGGGAGAAAAGAAGACCAGGACCTAACAGGAAATCTTGAGGTGGAAGCTCCCAGCTTCAGTTTGTCAACTCAACAGTAGACAGGAAGATAGGAAGGACCCAGAATGATGGAAGCCCAGAGAGGGCTGGGGCTGGGGAGAGCCATCCAGACAGAAGCTATAGCTGGAAGTACAGCATGGCTACCACTAGAGACACGATGCTCAGACAAAGGAGTTTGAAAGAAATGCCCCACCCCCCTCTCCCCAAGCCTTCTGATCTCCTGCTGGTCCCTCCCATTGGCTACACCCAACTGGAAGCTGGAAGACAAGGGAGCCCATGGGTGATGTGGACTCAGGGTAGGCAGAGAAGGGTAGAGAAAGAACTCGGGTAGGGTGGGCAAATGATACAGGGGTGTTATGCACATGCCCAAGAGAGGTGGTTATTTTTGTAGTTATTTTTCAATATTCCAGAACGTCCCATCAATAGATATGCCACCATGTAAAAAATTAAAATAAAAAAAATCCCTCTCTCGTTCATCTCTGTAGAAAACTTTTTAATTGAAGCACAATATACACATATAAGGGGGACATATCAGAAGAGCAGTTTGATGAGTTTTCACAAGTGAGCTTATCCATGTAACCAGATCAAGAAATAGAACATTCGAAGTCCCCTGACTCCCCGTCAGTATGTCTGCTTCAACTCCCCTCCAGCAGATAACCTGTATTCTGACTTCTAATTGCACAGGTTCATCCTCCCCAATTTTGTACTTTACATAAATGGCATCCTTCAGTATGAGCCCCTTGGGGTCTGGCTTCTTTCACTCCACATGGCTATTTTGTTGCTCTTTACTTATTTCCACTTGTCCCTGTAGAGATATTACAAGGGGCTTTGTGTCTATGGGTTTTTCTTTTGCCTTTGACTTTTTTTTCTCTTTAAGATTTATTTATTTGAGAGAGAGAGTGAGAAAGAGCAAGCAAGCAGGGGGAGGGGCAGAGGGAGAAAAGAAGACTCCCTGCTGAGCAGGGTGCCCGTGCCAGGCTCAATCCCAGGACCCCGAGATCATGCTCTGAGCTGAAATTAAGAGCCAGATACTCAACCAACTGAGTCACCCAGGGACCCTGCCTTTGACTTATTTTTTTTTTTAAGGAAGAATCCTCAGATTTAGGTTTCCTGGTTGAAGGGTGTAAACATTTTTAGAGCTCTCGCTGTGGGAGGCCACATGACTTTGTGAAGGATGTGCGGGTCTCATCACTCCTTATGTTAGAAGCCTGCCACTGAGATTACAATCGCTCTTTTGGGCTTTAGTGGAAGGAAGGGCAAGAGGGAGTCAGTTTTGAATCCCGCTGGGGAGGACTCTGAAGCTGTAAATATGAATTAGGGACACCCAAACCGTATGTACTTTTTCCAAAATTATTTGTTATTTTGTTTAAAAAATATTATGTCAGAAGTCAGAATCCCATCAGACTGCTTGACCCTTAACTTATGGATTACTACTGTTTTTATTTTGAACCCATAGGTGGAGTGAAATATTTTATGATCTTTTTAGGCTTTCAAGTTCTCAATTTGGCCCTGGTAGTCTCAAGAAATAAAGGCTCAGAGAGGTCAACTGACTTTCCTAAGGGCACACAGCAAATTAGTGGCAGAGCCAGGACTAGAACCTGGGTATCTTAACAATTTGTTCAGTGTCCTCCCCACTGTAACACTGTGCCCTCCCTGCCTGTTCTCCCAATTGTGAGATTACTTTCACAAGTCCTACAAAGGGGCTATTGTGTTCCCTCATCATGGTTCCCAGACCCCATGTGACTGCGCCGACAGTGGACATCAAATCTAGACTGAGCCAATTGGATTCTCTTTCCTAAGAAGCTGAGATTAGAACATCAGTGTGTTTTGTTTTGTTTTGTTTTTAAACTGGGCTCCAAAGTGGGAACTCAAAAGAAGCAAGCTGGGAGGAGAGGAGAGCAAAATAAATAGTCGTTAAAAATAAGAGGTCAGGGGCACCTGACCGGCTTAGTCAGGAGAGCATGCAACTCTTGATCTCGGGGTTGTGAGTTCAAGCCCCATGTTGGGGTTAAAGTTTACTTTAAAAAATACATAAATAAAAATAAAAACAAGAGGTCAGTTTGCGAGACCAGGTAGCTTGAAAGACAGAGTTGGAGAGAAGAGCTGATTTGGTTTCTGATAGCTCTCTAGTTCTTAGTTCTTGTTCTTCATGGGGATGTGTCTCCAGTTCAAACACAATAACCCTGGTATTCCTATAATTTAGCATGATTTTGGCTGCAGTAAGAAAATTTATGAATTTTTACAACAGGAAGTACAGAGCCAAGGTGGATTTCAGGCATGGTATAATCACAGTTCTAGGCGCTTCCCTCCATCGTGTGTTGGCTTTGATCTCACACTGGTTTCTCTCATGGTTATGAGAGGGGCCATCAACAACAAGGGCAACACTCCTCCTGTTCCCAGCCACGGAGCTAGAAAAAGCATTTCCCCCTCCAACCTCGGACTATAAATACTTCCTTTCTGTCTGATTAGGCCACTGTCAGTTTTGTACCTATTCTTGACCGCCTTGCAGGCTCCAGGAGAATGCTATGCCGTGATTGGCTTGCATTTGTGTTCCTGGTCCAATCATTGGCAAGGAGGATGGAAAGGCTTGGCTAAGGGTAATAGAGATCTACCCTGGAGATACAAGTGCAAATCAACTTCAGTCAGCTGAATGGGAGGGGCTGGTTACCTGAACAAATTGGGATCTGCTAGGGAGGAAGAAGGGGTAACAGATGCTGGAGAAGGAAAAAAAATTCATTTTGGACTATTTTGAGTGGATTTCTGATCCTTGTAGCCAAAGAGTCATTTGGACAATCAGCTTCCTGGTCTGTAGCCAAATGCCTTTGCCCAGCTCCTCTGCAGCTTGATTCTAATTTCCTCCTCCATTCTGTGGACTCTGTTATCGCCAACATTTCTCACCGCTGGCTCATTGCTTTGGCAAGCTGGCTTCTCACTCTGCTCCAAGCCCTGCTGATGGAGCTGAAGATCCCTTTAGCAGAATCAATTCTGGCAGGTTCTAATTTAAAAAGCCTCACACTTCTCTGCATGGGGGCTGCTGAGATCTGTGCCCATAAAGGCAGGGAGAGTAAATTCTGCTGAGGAGAGCCTATTCTAGCCTATTCTTAACAAGCCCTGAACCTAATTGAACTTAATCACTTTTCAGTCGCTGACACTTGAAATGTGTGAGTCACTAGGCTATGTATGGAGCTGAGGGCTACGGTGGCCCTTTAAATACCAAAGAGATGGTAGCTGTTTGCTTCCAGAAGAGCTGCTAGGGTGTGGGGCTGTGGTTTCACTCAGGGTTGCCCCCGAGACAGACAGTCCTGGATTCCAATCCTGGCTTCTCCACTTACTGCAACAGTCATTCTGTTTCTTCAAGACTGTTTCCTCATCTGTAAAATGAGGATGGGAACACGCCCCAAAACACTTCATGTGAATCATCAAGGCCTGACACGAGGCTGCTCAAAATCTTTATTCTACCTGGCATGAATATTCATGTTTCCTTGCAGAAATGTTAATGTGTCTGGTTATGACGTGTTGCCCAAACCCCATACATGATATACCATTGCACTAACTTTCCTCATGGTTACAGCGTGGCTGCCAGCAACATCAGGGACAACATGTTTCCTTGTGCACCTTATTATCTTTCTGAAACCAAAAATATGGTAAGTTCTAAAACACATCCCGTCCCGAGAGTTCAGGGATAAGAGAATGGAGATCTTAGTGTGGCTGAGCTACAATTATTCCAGGGCCTAGCAGGGAAAGTAGAAATCACATGGAATCAAGATTACCCTAGGAAACCAGTACCCCCAACCTTTTCTTGAGCAATGTGGCTGCTTCTTGAATTTAGCCCCACAAGAAGTGGTCAGCTTGTGTTTGAAAAATGTTTATCTTTAAACTACCAGACGGCATTCGGCCTGTAACAAATGCTCCTGCCAGGAGTCACTGGTGACCTGGGTCAGGCCAGGGTTCCCTGTGTCATGCTCACAGAGGGTGGGTGTGGGTCCTCCTGAAGAAAAATGACGGGCCAGTTCCCCCGCACGGGTGAAGTTCTTTTTTGTCTTAAATTGTTTCTCTCTTGTTTTGCAGAGCAGGAAGAAATGGGTCCTTTTTAGTGCGTGTCGAGGGTGTACCCAGCGTGGCTGCGGTAGGGATGCGGGGCTGTGAGAGCCCGAGTGAGGAGAGCGTGAATGCAGATGCCAGCGATGTGGGAGCACCTGAGGTGGCAGCTGAGTGGCGCTGTGAGGGGCTGTTACTGAGTATCGTGAGGGGCGCTACTCCGGGAAGGGGCCGCTGAGAGGTGTGTCGCTCCCCCACGCTCCGCGTTCTCGCCTTCGCTTGGGTCTTCTTCCAGCGCCTTCCAGGGGAGAACGCCTGTCTGTGCAGGTCACAAAGGCGCCCGTTCCAGGGGTCCGAGAACTCCCAGACGCGGGGCTGGGGGTGGGTGCAGCGGGGCCGCGCAGCAAGCCCTGGTCTTGGTGCCGTCGTCGGACCCGCCGCGGGGGTCGGACCCGCCGCGGGGGCTGAGTGCCCCGGGTAAGTTTCACGCCCTGACGGCCGCGCTTGCTGCTCCACAGCTCCCCCTGCTGGTGGAGGCCCCTCGCCCATTTCCTTTAAGAGGCCCTAAACCTGGAAAATATCGTAAGCCCCCTCAATTAAACACAAATAAATTACAATGTGTAAAACAACTTCAAGAAAGTCCAAGAAACTTCCATTTCACCCCAAGAGATCCCATTTTAATAAATGATTTTATTTATTCATTTCATTGACAGAGAGAGACAGCGAGAGAGGGAAAACAAGCAGGGGGAGCGGGAGAGGGAGAAGCAGGCTTCCCGCGGAGCAGGGAGCCGGATGTGGGGCTCGATCCCAAGACCCCAGGATCATGACCTCAGTCGAAGGCAGTCGCTTAACCAACTGAACCACTCAGGCGCCCCCAAAAGATCCCATCTTTAAAAAATAATTTTTTTGTGTTTCTGTACCCCTACTTGGCTAGCACCCCAAGCATATCTTTAACGTACTACCAGGTTAGGCAGCCTTGGTTCAGGTTTTACAGGCTCCTCTCTCAGACCTGGCATTTTTATAATCCACGTAGTCGTGAGTCTGGCTTTTCCTTTAATGGCAGATTGTGAACATTCAGCCGCAGAGGAGGAACCTGCCTTCCTACCCCAGCTAATTAAATGTTAGTTGGTAAAGGTGATCTCTTCATTCATTCAAACACTATTTGCTAAGAGCTTACCCTATGCCCCAAGACTATAGAGATACTGTAGCGGAGGGACGGAGCCCCAGAGCACCGGAGGGCATGTGCCTGAGGGCAGGCTTTGAGTTTCCGCTCTGGAATTGCAAACTCAAATTCCTGCTAGCTCCAGGCAGTTGCAGGGAATGTGGGAATTGGAGAGAGGAGTTAGGTAGGTACTAGGGAGCAGGGAAGTCTGTAGCCAGGAGAGTCAGTACACTGCCGACATTCACATTTTAAAACACTGATTCATAAACAGGACGGAAGGTAGGTTGAACCTGCCCGTAGGCATCAAGTTTGAAACCCTGGAATGAGAAGGTGGTGAGCCAGGGGCCAGGATACTGGTGGGGCTCTGAAGGCCCGGCTGTGAGAATGGGGGTGAATCTCTCTGTAGGGAACAGAATGAGCCCAGCCCCGTGGGCACAGACAGAGACAGGCCTATGTTGGTGTCTGGAAGCTGGAGAGAGCCCAGGGGGAGACTGGCTCTGTGTGTGTGAGTGGGTATCAGCAAAAATGTGGGAAGCTGATGGTGCCTCCACCCCCTGGGGAAAAACACAAAACACAACCAAATAACTCAAGGGCAAGATAAACTGATACTTGACAATCCTGATTCACAAACAAGGTACGTTCATCAAACACCTGTTATGTGCTAGGCAGTGTGCTAAGAGCTTTATAAACATTAGTTTATGCTAAGAGGTGGGTGTGAGTATCCCCATTCTACAGATGAGGAGACTAAGGCTCAGAGAGGTAGAATCACACCGTCAGTGATTGTCAGGTTTACTTGAGTCCTGCTTTTAGAAAGGTATAAGGTATATCACAGATCCACGGAAGTCCAGAAGAGCTCTTGAACATAGAAAAGCTCCCGGGCAATATGAAATTAGAGCTGCATAAAACTCTCGAGTAGAAAGAGGTCCCAAAGTGAGTATCTTTTGCCTAAACCTTATCAGTCAAGTAAATCCTGCTACAGCCTGTACCCCCACCTTGAGCTCTCTTACACACTGATCTTATTGCTTTCTTGCTTTTAAGGAACATCCAGACTTCTTTGCCATTCACTTCCCACTGGATGCTGCCACCTACACTAGATCACACACCATTCTCTGAATGCTCCTTTCATCCACTTGCCTCTCAGCCTTTGCCCAGGCAGTTCTCTCTACCCAGAATTCTACCCACTTTTCTTCCCTGCTTGTTGAACTCCTATTCATCCTTCAAAACCCAAGTTAAAATTTACCTCCTTCTTTTCCACAATTTTACCCTGGACAGAATTCATACCACCTTGAAGGCTGACTTACCACTGCGTTCCCTAAAATGTTTAGCACTCAGTAGGGGCTTAGTGTGTGTGCTAAATGGATCTAAGCACTTCGGGCATGAGAACTCATTTGGTTACAAATGATAGAAAACTCCTCTCAGATTGTTTTGAGAGAATATGTTGCGGGGCGCATGGGTGGCTCAGTTGGTTAAGCGACTGCCTTCGGCTCAGGTCATGATCCTGGAGTCCCGGAATCGAGTCCCGCATCGGGCTCCCTGCTCGGCAGGGAGTCTGCTTCTCCCTCTGACCCTCCTCCCTCTCATGTGCTCTCTCTCTCATTCTTTCTCTCAAATACATAAATAAAATCTTAAAAAAAGAGAGAGAATATGTTGATTCATGTGACTGGACATGACCCAGAGGTATCTTCAGGCTTGGTTAAGTCCAGGGGTTTGGATGATGTCCCCAAGTTTCAGTCTCTCACCATTTTGTCTTCTCCATGTTAGCTTTATTCTCAGGCTCCCTGCAGAGGCAAGAAGGTTGCCAGCCACTCCCTACCTCATTCGGTAGGCTCAAGAGCAGCAGGAAACGAAGTCCCTCTCTTCTGAGTGTTCAAGATTAAACCCCACTATTCACTCTGCTGGGACAAGTCAGGGTTACGTTCCCATCCCTGACATGATCACACTGGCAGGAGTTGGAGGGGAGAGGGTTGTGGGGGGTGGAATTATGCAGATCAGCTAGGGATCTGGCACTCTGATTGGCCCTTCCAGAATCACATGCTCCGATCCGATAAGGAGGGGTGGGGTCAGTCCCAGGGAGAAAAACATAACTGGGTGGTTTCCCAAAACAAATCCAGATGTTGTGACCAGGAGTTAGAGGAATGCTGCACACTCCTCCAGCCTTCACAAACGGTTCTTAGCCTGGACCTTCATCAGATGAAACAACCCATACAATACCATATCATACTAGCCCCTGTTCACTGAGCACTTACTATGTGCCAGGCTCAGTGAGGTGCCTTAAGGCTTCCCAACCTGTGAGGTGCCTTCTAGAACTTCTCCTATTTTCCAGAGGAGGAAATGAGGCCCAGAGAACGGAAATGACTTGCCCAAGGTTAGTAAGTGGAGGAGGAGGAAATTTGTCGAGATCTGATGATTGACACAACTAATACTTTATTTTTTTTAAAGATTTTATTTAGGGGCGCCTGGGTGGCTCAATCGTTAAGCGTCTGCCTTCGGCTCAGGTCGTGGTCCCACGGTCCTGGGATCGAGCCCCGCGTCAGGCTCCCTGCTCCGCGGGAAGCCTGCTTCTCCCTCTCCCACGCCCCCTGCTTGTGCTCCCTCTCTCGCTGTCTCTTTCTCTTAAATAAAATACAGGCTCCACGACATAACTAATACTTTAAACCACTGGACTGCAGGACCCCTCAATGGGTGGCAAAACTAGAAGTTTCTGCTTTAGGATTCTAGCCCTTGAAGTCTGGGAGTCCGGGTGCAGTGGATCTCACAGCCCTCTGGGTCTTGTAGGGTTAACATTGTTATCTTCTCCTCTGAATATGTAGGCCAGATGAAGTTCAAGTTATGACTTGATGAAGTGCCTCTTGGTACCAGTGGCTCCTGCTTTAAAAGGCAGCTGTATGTGTGTGTTCTAGCCTTAGCTGAAGCTGAGGTTGGACTAATTGCATTTTAACCCCATCAGAGGACACATCGCCCTGATGCCATTTGCCCCCTCTTCTTTGGGAACACAGGAGGCAGGAGGGTAACCAACGTGCCAAACCATCTGCCTGGCTCCTAATAATAAATTGTGAGAGGAACAGTTTTCAGGCAAACATTGCTTATTAAAAAAAAAAGAAGAAGAAGAAGAAGAAGAAGGCTCTTCTCACACCCGGGCAGCCATCTGCCGTGTCCTCCACATGCGCCAAAGTGGTGGGAGGAGGAAGGGACTGAAGCGGGGGGTAAGGGAGAAGGTGCCTCTGGGCCCCACACTGCCAGCCGGGTGGCTCACACATTGTCTTCCTTTTGCCGCTGTGGACAGGACATTGCAGAGAGAGAGAAGAGCACTCACTGGCTTTGACCTCCCTGGTGTCTGAGCATAGCGAAACACAATTCCTTCAAGATGCCGATGGTAGGTATTAGCTCCTGTGTATGGAACGCTTACTGTGGGCTAGGCACATATTAGCTCATCTAATCCTGACAACAAATCTATGTGCACCCATTTTATAGATGAGAGACTGGAGGCTCAGAAACGTTAAGTGATTCACCCAAGGTCACACAGCAAGGCTGCCTTTCAGTATGAAATAATGAGGCCCAGCATCCTCTCTACCCTGGCAACACAGAGCAGGTTTTCCATGTAACAGATAAGCAGTTGACATCACCCAAGGGTGTTCTTCCACCTCTAGCCCTGCCCCTAGACATTTTCCTGACCTCTGCCCTTGAGCTGAAATGTAGGCTTCTCTGGTCACCTAACCCGTTGCTCAATGCCTCCCCCTATCTCACCCAGTCAAAGAAGCACAGGAGAAAAAGCTCTGAAACCATCCAGGAACTTTCGGAGAAGGTCAAAGAGCAGCTGGCTGAGGCTGAGCTTCGGAAGCTGAGGCAGCAGTTCAGGAAGATGGTTGAAAGTCGGAAGTCCTTTAACTTCCGCTCCGAGCAGAAGATCTCGAACCAGCAGTAAGCCATGGTCAGAGTATTATACTGAGTGAACTTGGAGAAAACTTTGGATTTGGTTTCACGCGGTGTGCCTTCTTATGTGGCCTCTGAGCAGGGACCCCATTCTAAACCCATACTGGGTACCTAGGTGGGATAGCTTCAGTAGCCGGGGATATTTATTCTCAGAATCCAGGCTGTCACCAGGACTCCAAGTGGGAGCACCACACCAAGAGGCCCCCATGAATCAATTCTAATCCCAAAAGCCCAGGAAAGGGGGAATCTGATTGGCTTAGCTTGGGTCAGGTGTCTAATCCTGGTCCTGGTCCAATCAGCTGTGGCCAAGGGGCGGGGACTGAGCCTTAGGATCCAAAACGGTTCTTGAGTGTCACTCGCAGGGTTCTAGCAACCCGGTTGGGGGAGTTCCCAGAGAAGGGGAAATCACCAGGCTGTGGCTATCCCAAAATATGTTTCCTGCTATACGTCCTTATGGGATCTGCAAGATCAAATATTTGCAATTGGGTTGTCCTAGAAATTATGATGTGGATAGCTTTTTTAGACAATAGAAAAGTGTTCCCTGGGGTTGAATAAACAAATATCCTTAGATTCCCTCCAAAGGAATGTAATTCCTTAGCTACCTCCATAACGTTTATACAGGCAGAAACTGCCCATTATTAGAAAGAAAATCTTACTGTTTGATATTATGTGAAGTTCAGAGGATAGGGGAAGCGGGACGGTTCAGAGTTTCTGTGGATTTAACACAGACAGTCCATATGGGATCTTCATGTGAATTAGAAAAAGCACCCTTTCTCAAGACACTTTACTGCCATCTGTTGGAAACACTGTCATCACGTAGGGATTTTGTTCGACCAAGATGAAGCGTCTCCTGGGAAAGTATAGTAAGTCAAGAAATCAATTATTGCTTTTCAAGCAGACAGAGCTCCCTTGGACAGTGCAGTCCACAACCTGCACATCTGTACCTGGCAGCCCTGATTCAGAGCCTACCTCTGGTGGGCATCAGGAAAAGCCTCCTTCCTGGTGGGTCTCTGACAGTTTTTTGTGAATCTTACCCTTCATCCTACTTTTACCCCAGTCCATTTGATCTGGTTTCACCGTGATGGACCTGAAGGGGAGGGGGTGGAAAAGTGGAGATCTCAGATTCTTCAAGTGAAACACTTGTAAACAGGGGCCAGGACTGAGATGAGCTGAGTGAGGTGCCTAGCATTCAATATTTAAGGAGACACTTTTTCCTCAGTGCTTGTCCTGCACCTGAACCCCCTGAGAGTGAGGGCCTCCTTAGAGTTGGGAGCACCTCACTCCCAGTCCCAGCCCTGCTGATGAGACAGACAAACCTTCCTTTTGCTTTTACCGAGTCCTCTGAACTCCCAACTTTGGTGGACTCTTGTGCTTTTTTTCTCTCCACCCTAACAAAGACCCCCTCCCAAGAGTGGCTTAAGAGGGGGAGAAAGGTCCCAGCTGCCAGGTTTAGAAGACAAGTAGCTCTAGGATTAGGGGTACACTCCCACATGGGGCTATTTACATTTGTAGCTGATGAAAGAACATTACAAGTTCAGTTCTTCAGTTGCACTAGCCACATTTCAAGTGCTCAATAGTCTTGGTGCCTGGTGGATGCTATCGTACAGTAGATAGAGAACATTCCCATAATTACAGAAATTCTACTGGACATGGGCACCTGGGGGCCTCAGTCGGTTAAGCATCTGCCTTTGGCTCAGGTCATGATCCCGGGGTCCTGGGATCTGGCCCTAAATTGAGCTCCCTGTTCAGCAGGGAGTCTCCTTCTCCTTCTCCCTCTGTGCTCTCTCTCTCTCCCTCACTCAAATAAATAAATAAAATCTTTAAAAAAATGTGCATATGCGTGACTTGAGGATCTTGTCACAAAGCAGATTCTGATTCAATAGGTCCTGGGTTGGGGCTGAGCTTCTGCATTTCTCCAAGCTGCCAAAGGATATGGAGTCTGCAGACTGCACTGCCCAGGGCGTTGGGTGCCCAGACTTTGCCAGAAACTCGGCCTCTGCGCCATTTCCCGTTGTTCAGTTGCCGTCTCCTGAGCCTTTTTTCTTTTCAAAAGCCCTGTTTGTCCACACTCCGACCCCTCTCCTCTCCAGAGTAGGAAGAGGGATGGAGAGGAGACTCCTGTCAGCTGATTTAATAAATCATTAGCACCCTGCGTAGGGAAACTGGGGAGGTTGGAGGTTACTGCGCATCTCTGTGTTGATGCGAAATTGAAAATGCCTGCCTGATGGGCTTGCCTCTCATTACCAGAGATAATTGGCTGTAAAGTCTGGAAAGAAAGTCAGCAAAATCAGACAGATGCCCGTGAACTGCTGGCAAAGGAGAGGACCTCCCCCCCCCCCCCCCCCCCCCCCCCCCGTCTAGGTAATGGGTTTTGACAGGCACGGCTGCAAATTGTTCCCTAAGAAGAAAAGGCCCCCTAGCGAGGGGGCGGAGCCGTGGAGTTGCAGGCGGTCAGAGTTCCGGACCTAGACCACCCCCCACCCCGCCCCGCCCCAGCCACCTGCCGGGGTGGGTGGTACCTCTCTGTGTCTCCTTGCAAGCGCTAAGGAGCCTGGAGCGGCAGAGCAAGGTAAACTCGGCGGTTCAGGGCTAATCACGCGCTGCTTTTCCCACAGCAAGGAAATCAAGGCCCTGCAAGGAGAGCAGGAAGAGATCACTCTGCTTTTGGGTCTCATCAAGTCCTCAAAGAACTTGGATCTGAATGAGAAGAACTACATGGAGCTGTGTTTCCTGCGGCAGACCAAGGACGACTATGAGGCCCTGATTAAGTCAATGAAAGTGCTGTTGGCAGAACTGGATGAGAAGGTGTGGTCCTTCCCTTAGAGGGTTAACTGGAGCGCAGGGCAAGGGAAGGAGGTGGGGTGGAATGGGGGGAGGGGGGTACCCATGATACCATAGGCCAGATCTGACACCCCATATTCTAAAGGTGACTGTGTTTACTCTGCCACCTTGTGACCCCTACTCTCCCAGGCCATTCCTCCACTGTGTTTCCCAGCACTTCCCCACTCCACTTAGAGTAAATTCCCAAACCCTTACTGTGCCAGTCAGGAGAGGTTAGATTATGCTAAAGTATCACCCCTGCTCACCACTCAGTGGTTTAAAACAATAAAGGTTTCTTCCCCATTCATGCTATGTCTCTCATGGATTGGCTGTGGGCTCTTTTATCTTCTCATCCTGAGACCAGGCTGATGGGGTATCCACCATCTTGAATATTGCCAGGTGTTGTGACAGAGACAAAGAGAGTTCTGCAAAGTCTCACACTGGCAATTGAATGCTGCAGCCTGGATGTGGCACATCACTTCTGTCCATGACCCAGAGGCTCAAAACTGTCTACCAAATCCATATATACCCCAACTGCCCATCCCCCAAATAGTCAACTCTATCCATCCACAAAAGTGTCTAGGAAGTGCGTGTATCCAGAAGGCAAAGAGCTAGAGACATTTGCTGAACAGTGTTAATGGTCCTATCCCTTACTATGGCTTGAGAGGCCCTGCATGATCTAGCCCCTGCCTGCCCCTCTGTCCTCAACCCATGTCATTCCTTCCTCAACTCCTCTCAGCGAGCTGCAGAAGACTTCTTTTTTTTCAAATATGTGAAAACTGTTCTTACCTCAGGGCCTTTGCACATGTTCCCTTGATCTCTGCTTCTTGCCCTTTATGGCTCAGCATAAATGTGACTTTCTCAGGGAGGCCTTTTCTATACCTTTTCTCCTGTTTAAAGTATATCCCCCTTGCATTATTTAGGTTCCTGGCCAAAAACAAATAGTACACTCAGTAAGGTACTTTTGAGAAGAGTTTTATGAGGCTCTATTTACAAGGGTGTGAGCACAGAGTAGGAACATTGAAGCACTGTAGGGTTAGCCGCAGTGGGCAGGGCAGACACTCTGGAACCTGAAGACAGAGAGCAAACCAGGGGGAATAGATACCCCAACCTCTGTCTTCTCACCCACGGGCTCCCAGTGCAATGGAGTCCTCATGGGCTCCTTCCGGGTCAGCCTCATGGGACCCAGAGCAGGGTGCGTGGAACAGAGTGGAGAGTGAACCTCAGGGGGCAAACCAGATCTCAGCACACTCCCTTAACTCCTTTCATGACACCCCATGGCACTTCCCTCATAGCACTTCTCCTCGTGGTAATTATACTTTAACACAGGTATCATCTGTCCATAGCCTGTCACCTCTAGGAGGGCAAGGACCATGTCTGTTTTGGTGCCCTCTCTACCCATCCTGTGCCTGTCCCAGTGCCTGGCACATAGGAGGTCCTCAGTAAATATTTACTGACTGAAAGAATCTGGAAATCTCATTCCATCTTTCCTCTGCTTCAAACCCTTCAGTAATTTCCTATTGTTCCTAGAGATGAGGGCCAAACTCCCCAATGTGGTTTGTTAGCTCTGCTGCCTTGTGTCCCTCCTGCTTCTCCCAACTTCTCTCCTGCGCCCCCCTCCTTTGTGTTCCGTCCACACTGGCCACTTTCATGAACCCATAGTGCTGTCTCTCACTTGCAGGCCTTTGCACCTGCTGTTCCCTCTGCCTGGATTGCCCTTCCCCATCTTCTCTGCCTGGGGAGCTCCTATTCAACCTTCAGGTCTCAGCCCAAAGGCTGTTTCTGCCGGATGGTTGTCCCTTCATTTCCTCTCCAGATGCCCCTGCTGTCTGTGTCCAAAATACCTTACCTCTTCCTTTTCCCAGGACTAACTGTGCTTTGTAGCTCATTTCCAGCCCTAGTGTTGAGGTCGGGGACCATCATACTGTCTTGATTGCCTTCATACCCTTAGTTGTCTGGCACAGAGCAGGTGTTTAATAATTATTGATGAATGAGTATATGAATGAATGAGAAAGGCAATAACAGTGAAGAAAGCAGAAAATTGAAGAAAAAAATGGGGATGTGGGTCCTCAGAAACAGTAGGAAAAGGCAAGCTACTTTTTAAAAAAGATTTTATTTACTTATTTGTCCGAGAGAGAGAGAGAGAACACAAGCAGAGGGAGCGGCAGGCAGAGGGAGAAGCAGACTCTCCGCGGAGCAAGGAGCCCAATGCTGGGCTTGATCCCAGGACCCCGGGATCATGACCTGAGCCGAAGGCAGACGCTTAACCGACGGAGCCACCCCGGTGTCCCAACTACTTCGGGATCCTCAAAAGAATATGGCACTCACTGCCCTGTACAGAAATTTTCTTTGCCCAGTTCCATCCCAGGGTGGGCAGGTCCCAGAATCCCCTGCGGCTGTGCCCACCACACAAACTCCAGAGCTGCTCCCTTGCAAGAGGTCCCTGGAGGCAGGGACCTCACCGGGCCCTGCCTGACCTCAAAAAGCAAATAAGCCTGTGCCTTTATGCTGAAGAGAGCACCTCACGTAGGCGATGCACTCCTCGGTGGGCGCAGCCTTGGCTGTGTCTCCTGTCGGGCAGAGGCCTAATTACTCTCCGCGTCACAAGAACAACATCTGACACAAAGGTGCCAAAGGGACTAGGAGGCTGAATTTAATCACAGGAGCAAAAGGGAAGTGCTGACACACACCTTCCTTTGTCAAGGAGCTGGAACCTGAGGTCTCTGAGTCAACTCAGGGGCGGGCACGAGGAAACGCTGCAGTCTGGAGAGGCTGAAATGAGGTTGTGTTGAGGGGCTGCCTGTGCATAGCACAGGAGAACCGAGTAGAACAGGGACCTGACTTGACTTGATCCAAAGCCTGGCTGCTGATATCACTCATACACAGTCTTCATGTGCCTTACGAGATTGTGTGAGACCCAGCGGTTCCCTTGATGCCTGATCATCTGAGCTGCCATCTTGCTTGATGTACCAGTGAGGATAGATTGGGCTGTAGGTAAAGCAATTCTTGACTAGAAGTGGCTGGAAGGATAGAAGTTTGTTTTTCTCACAGAGTAAGATGTCTATCTGGAAAAAGGTCATCCCAGGGATTTTTTAGTAGCTCTGCAATGATAGGTTGGTCTTTTTCTCTCTGATCCTCTTGGTTGGCCCTCCCCTCATGGTCTCAAGATGGCTGCCAAAGCTTAGCTGGTGTAGCTTCTCACATCATCACATTCAGTGACATGAAGAAGGGATGAGGGGCTGGTTCTTACATGATAGCCTCTCTTATGGGGGAGAGACTGTTTCACAAAATCTCTCTAGCTGGTTTTCCCTCATTGGCTAGGGCTAGAGCATATATCTACTTCTAGGCCAATCACCGGCAAAGGGAAGTGAAGAGACAGACTGTCTCTTCTTATGACGCTTTTTTAGGAAATGAAACTTTTTCTAGAAGCTTCTCTAGCAATCACACCTTCTGAATTCAGAGGCCCCAAGTGGTTTAGTCCAGCCCATCCCTGATGAATAAATCATAGGCAAAGGGGTAAAGTTGCCATGGTTGGTTTGGATCAGTCTTCTGGGGTGGGATGGGTGTTGGGGCGGTCAGCCACCCACCATGTCCCCCACAGTTGTGGTTGTTGTCCCCTTTTCCAGCTACCTGGCTCTGGACCACTCTTCTGTCTTCTGCTTGGCATCTCTTGCTGCCTAAGCCATCTTTCACCAGTCTACTGTGGTTCCTTCAAGACCTTAAAATATGGGTATAGACCAAATTGGTGATCTTCAGGACAGATTGAGCCTGACAACATGAAGGCTTTGGCCTGTTCAGTGTTTAAAATTTATTTTAATTAGTGTTAACATGTTAAAAATTGAGAAATTTCATGAAAAAAAAAGTGGGTATCTGGCTTCTCTTCAAAAAAAAAAAAAAAAAGACTGAAAGATCTGGCAACATTGGGCCTGATTTTCCAAGGGGCAACTGTACCTAAATAGTGTTGTGGTGACACAAGAGCTATTTAGCCACTCTCTACTTCTTCCTAACAGACTCCTGAAGAGTTATGTTTCCCATCCTGCCTTGCAGCTAAGGGGGGACAATAAAATTTAAGGGGAAGTTTGTTGGGGGTATCTGGGAAAGTTTTGCCTTCAGATTTAGGTTCCACCCCTTTACCCATATTGCTTCTTCTTCCTTCCTTCCTGGAACATGACTGTGAAGGCTGGTGCTGTGGTAGCCATTTTTTGACCATCAGGGAAAGGCCAGGTGAATTATAGAGATCTTGTATTTATTTCCCTGAGTTACTGAACTTTAAGCCAGCAACCTTTATGGACAGAAAGATAAACCATAATTTGTTTAAGCCATGGGGCACCTGGGTAGCTCAGCTGGTTAAGCATCTGACTCTTGCAGCTCAGGTCATGATCTCAGGGTTGTGAGATTGAACCCCTCAGAGGGCTCTGTGCTCAGGGGGGAGTCTGCTTAGGATTCTTTCTCCCTCTTCCCCTCCCCCCAACTCACGCATGCACTCTCTCTAAAATAAATAAATAAATCTTTAAAAAGCCTCTGTTTAGTTGCACTTTCTATAATTTGTAGTCGCATCATATAAGCTGCTGCCCCTTAAGGCAGGGTGTGTGTCCTCTAGTTTTCTATACTCTCTACCATCCTGTATTGTCTTATAGTGCATCCACTTTACTCTTTTATGTCACCTGCTTGGCCATAGTTTGCAAACTCTAGTATAGATTTTTCTCTCAGTGTTCCATGGTCATAGCTGAGACTGTGCTGTATAGACTTCCTGGAGGTTTGGGGATAAACAAAGGAAACTAAATCTCAGGGATGCTAACACAGGACCCCAGAGGAGACTGCTCCCAGAATTCATCAGCCCAAGCTCAGCACAGGGGTGCCTTGCTCCCAGCTGGAAGCAACCTCCATGTAGCTGACAAACTTTATATTTCATTACACCAAGCATTTAACCTGCCTCATGTGGAACTTCTCCATTCCAGAACAGGAGCTGGGCTTCAGACTGTGAATTCAAGCTACTACCTCCAGACAAACAGGGACATATCAAATTGCTTAAAATGACAGTGTCCCCACCCTTCACCCACCAGGGTTCCAAAACAAAGCCTCAGAGCTTAGTCTCACCCCAAATCCTAAGAAGATAAGGTACCTCTGACACATTAGGACCTGGCACTCACCACTCTTTACAGGCACTTGTCTTCAGGTAATAGTTCTATAAACTTCTCTAGAACCTGCTAGGATTTAGCACTAGCCAGCTGCTTCGAGATGGGGCTAACTATTGGGCAGGTTGGATGGATGTCTGCCTGGGTGTGGGCTGAAGCCATATGGCGGGTTGGTTACGCACACTGTTGGCGGTGTGAGGAAATGACCTGATCCACTGGTACTTGTATGAAAAACTATAGAATGAGTTCTCTGGGAAGGTGATGGTGGGTGTGTTTGGGTTTGGAGAACTTGGCCGGAGCTACCAGGGTAGGAAAAAACACCCAAATTCTTTCCTGCCAGCCATGGCAAGAGTGTATTTCACTTATTTGAAGTCAGAATCAATTATCCTAAGTGCATGGTGTGTTAGGAATGCTTTTGGCCACAGGGGATGTGAAACCCAACCAAAAGAAGCTTGAACCAAAAGGTGAGTGAAATTCACAAGCACAGATAAAGCAAAACCTCTAAATTGCCTCATTTTACCCCAAACTGGCTAAGATTAAGTTGAGTTGAGCATGCATTCAAGAAAGAAATTAAAATTCTACTGATAGGGCACCTGGGTGGCTCAGTCGTTAAGCGTCTGCCTTCGGCTCAGGTCATGATCCCAGGGTCCTGGGATCGAGTGCCACATGGGGCTCCCTCCTCGGGGGGAAGCCCGCTTCTCCCTCTCCCGCTCCCGCTGCTTGTGTTCCTGCTCTCGCCGTGTCTGTCTCTGTCAAATAAATAAATAAAATCTTAAAAAAAATAAATAAAATAAAATTCTATTGATAGGAAAAGAAAGAACATTGCAGTTTTTATTTTAGCACGCTTACGTTAGTGAACTGTAAAATTTGTACCTGTACAGATATTAATTTAACACAGCTGGGGGTTCTCTCTCTCTCTCTCTCCTTTCTTTTTTTCCAGATTGTTCAGATGGAAAAAAAAATTATAAACCAAAAACAGATCTTCACAAAGATACGGGAAGCCAATGACCCTCGGAAACTGCAGAAGCAGATCCATGTTCTGGAAGCCCGTTTGAATCTTGTACGTAAGGGGTTCTCTGCAGCTTTGCAAACAGCTCTTCCTTCTCTTGCTCAGAGTAGAGAATGATGTCTATGGAGCCTTTAGCAGAACCTACGCATCTTGTTCGTTGACTCAGGAGAAGGTGAACCAGTGGTGTTCACATAAGCCAGGCAGCCTTTTAGACTTACCACCCACCCTGCTCCACCCACTCTGTTCCATTGTTACCCAAGGTGCCTTTCGCCTTCTTGCTCTCTGCACTTTATGCACCATGCTCTTGCCCCCACCCCCTCTATTCCAATCCCCCACCCCTCCTGGGATGCCTATTTTTAGTGCCTTGACTTAAAAACTCTTGCTTATTTTTAAGAAGCAGCTCAAATATTACCCTTCAGCAAGCAGAATTAGTGAGACCTTCTTCCCCCATTGCGATCTGCTCACGCCTCTATTAGACCTAGTGCTTTTTGGTTGTTGTGGATATTGTCTCTAGGAAATATTCAGCATAGACATGTATAACTTGATAAAGAGAAAAGTGGTGTTTCCTAATCACTTTCAATTTATAGTGACCTTTTGCATTAAGGAGGATTCTCTAAATTACAAACTGACTTACACAAAAAAGAGAATAGATTGGCCATAGAACTGAAAAAATCAGGGGCAAAAAATTCAGTATCCACCTTCAGGCATAGCTGGATCCAGGTGCTCCAAACATGTCTTGAGGTTACTTTCTCTGTCCATCTCTCCTTTGGGTGGAAATGGCTTCATTCTTGGGCTGCCCCCAGTGTGAACAACCACCAGCAGAAAAGGACTATCTCTTTTCTAAGAGTTCAATCACAAGTCCCAGGGAGGGTTCCCATTGGGCCGTCTCGGGACAAGTGCCCATCCCTCAACCAATCACTGTGCTCAGAAGAATGGAATACATGGACTTGAGTCACATGACTACCCTTGGATTACTCCCCCCTCCCCCAAGTCAAGAGAGGACAGCCCTATCCAACAATGTGGACTGAGAGCTGAGAAGAAGTGGTAAAAAGCAAAAAGAAAGGAAGAAAGAATGCTGAGCACATACAAACACGTTCCAGTCTGACTTGTGAAATTACAGTTCCCACAACATAAGCCAGGAGAGAGGGCAAGTGAATTGATTTGGAGGGAAGCCTGTCAGTGCCTCACTATACAAAGCTCTTAGCTTCCCCCAAACTCTGACCCCCAGGCTTTAATCAGGGATGGTTGAAGTTAATTGGATCTGATCTCTGTCTCCCCAGTAACCTGGAAGTGGACTGAAGGCAGGGCCATGTCCTTAATACCTACACACAGTGATTTGCACCCATGCCTCAGAAGGTCTAGGATGTGTGTTAAAATGCAGATTCCTGGTTTTGAGTCAGAATCTGTAATTCTTTAGACTCACTGGTTTTGAATCCGAACCTGTAAGGCTTAGACCCAGGCATCTGCTCTATTAACAACCCCAGTGAAACTGAAGCTCCCTTGGTTAAGAATCATTAATGCCCAGCACAGTGTGAGGCTTGGAGTAGGTACTTGGCAAACATCTGTTGATTGAATGAATGAATGAATGAATGAACGCATGCATGATTTAATGATGACATGTCTATAGAGGTCTGCTTTTTTATAATAGATCTATTCAGAGTTTCTATTTCTTCCTGAGTCAATTCGGTAGTTTGTTTCTTTCTAGGAATTTGTCCATTTCATCTAAGTTATCCTAATTTGTCGTTTTACAGTTTTCTTAGTACATTGCCTTATAATTCTTTTTATTTCTGTAAGGTCTATAGTAATGTCCCCTCTTTCATTTCTGAGAGGAGTGCTGCTTCTTTACTTCTCAAACGGGTCCCCTTTCCCTTCTTCCCTGACCAGGTCTGGCTGTGCCTTTTAGTAGATTAGGTAGCTATCTCTAAAGGTTATTTCAGGGTCCCAGAATACCCCATGACCCTAAAGCCTCCCCCACTTACTCAGTGGGGCCTGAAAGTCCTCCCATTTTTATCCCACAATTAGAGGATGGGTAGCATGTCAACAGCCCTGGAGTAAAATTCACACTAAAGTACAAATGACTGATAACCAATATCTTCTTAAGGGTAAGTGGAAGGCCCAGAAAGAATAAGAATGACTCTGTTCCTGGATTTCCTTCCCTTGTGTGGTGGCCACTGACACATCCTACAGAGGAACCCAGGGCCAGGACTAGGGTGAGGCAAGTAAAGAGCCCAGGATGCAAAACTGAAGGAGGCACTCACTCTTAGGCTCATGGAAATGCAGGGTTGACTCTGGGAGAGTGAGTACCTTCTTAAATTTTGCATCCTGGTGGTCTCCCTTGCTTTCCCCCTTCTCAGCCTTACAGAAACCTAAAGTTTCTTAGAACATGCTTTGAAAACCTCTGATCAAATCTGCCTTATATCCATTGGGAATATTTTCTGTCATTGTTTCTTTTCAGTGTCTATGGGAGCACTTTGCATAAAAAACTTTTTTTATTAAGATAAATTTATTAAGATGTGCAGAAAGGTGGAGGGAATAAAATAATGAACACCCACATACCTATCACTTAGATTTAATCATTGGTAACATTTTACTATATTTGTTTCACCCTTCTTTCCCCTGAAGTATTTTAAGGTAAATTACAGACATCTTGCTATTTCACCCCTAAATACTTCTATTTGCATCTCTAAAAATCAAACATTTTCTTCATAGCCACCAAATCATATCACACCTTACAAAATTAATACCATTTCCTTAACATTGCCCACATTAAAATTTCTCTGGCTGGCCCCAAAGTGTCTTTGTAAAGTTGGAGCCAATCAAGTTTCTACCTGATGGTTAGGTCTCTTAAATTTCTTTAGTCGACAGCAGTGGTTCTTAAGCAGAGATGATTTTGCCCCCAAAGGGACATTGTCTCCAAAAAGAGACATTTTTGGTTGTCACAGCTGGGTTGGGGGCTGTGCTGCTGGCATTCAGTAGGTAGAAAGCAGGGATTACTTCATTAACACCCCAAAGCACAGGACAACTCCCCACCACAAAGAATCATCCAGTCCCAAAACAGTGCTCTACAACTTTTCCCGGCCATCAACCTGTTGAAGAGTCTGAGTCTTCAAGGAATGTGATACAGAAAGTTCTACCTTCTGGATTTGGCTGATTGTTTCCTTATGGTGTTTTTTCCTGTTTACCTTTTCCTCTCTCCCCTGCCATTGCTAAAAACTGGAAGTTAGGTATAAAAGAGCTTGAGACATTTAAAATTCAGGGGCTGGGGGGTGGGGGGAAGAACCTTGCACAAGACCACTTAGCCCTTTGGTGACCAACTCAAGCCTCTCACCCAGCACTTCAGCCGCTGTGCTGTGGACCTGCGGCCAGAGGGTGGGAGAGACTTCCCCACCCTCTGGCTGCCTTCTGGAAGCCTGTCTCGTGCCCCAGGAGTGAGCTCAGTTTTGAAGCACAGCCCTGCCCACAGGTCACTGTGCACTTTGACAAGATGCTGACCGCCAATGCTAAGCTCCGGAAGGAGATTGAGGACCTGCGGTACGAGAAGGCTGCTTACGACAATGTGTACCAACAGCTCCAGCACTGCTTGTTGATGCAGAAGAAAACCATGAATGTGGCCATCGAGCAATCTGCCCAGGCCTATGAGCAGAGGTGGGCTGGGTGGAGACCCTAGGGGCAGAGATGTCTCTTGGCCCCCTGCTGAGCACCTCTGCCCCTGGGCTTTATGTCTCGAGGGATCTTAAATGATCATCATCACTCTGAGCACTGACTGTGTGCCCAGCATGATGCTAGGTGCTCTGAGTATTATTTCAACCCTCACAACTGCCCCAGGGGTTATATCCCTATTTTATTACAGACCAGGATACGAAGGCTTAAAGCTGCCGAAATACTCAACCTGAGAGCTAGGTAAACGGCGGATGTGGTAGGGCTGAGATTCAAACCTCTCTGCTATGCCGTCTCCTCTGGGTGCCCCAGCCTCTAGTCCTGGGGTCTCTCACTCTGGGTTATCTCCTGGCCTCACACTCGTAGGGGCAAGAGGCATATAGTTGGGTTGTGAAGAGCATAGGTTTTGGAGTTGGAGAGATCGGGGTTTGAATCCTGGCTCCATCACTATTATTATAGGACCGCTTTGGGGGTTAGTGAGAATTAAATAGTATATGTATATAAGGACTGGCTGGGCCACAGTAATTGACAAGTGCTGATAATGATGAGGTGGTGGTGGTGGTGGAGGTGATGGTGGTGGTGGTGGTGATGGCAATGGTGGTGATGATGATGGTGGTCGTGGCTGTGGTCATGGTGGTGGCGATGATGATGATAGAACGATCTGTTCCTGGGGATGGTCTAGAGCTGGCAGCTCCTGTCATTCAGGTAAGGAGGGCTGTTCATCTGCTCCCAGAGCCTCCGTGTGTAAGAGAAGTGATGGTCACTGGCAGCAAGTCCCTCTGGTCTGGCAGGGAGAGGGGAGGGTGAGAGGGGAGCCTCCGTGCCCTCAGAGCCTGTACCATCTTGCTCAGGCTGGGAGCCATGGCGCGAATGGCCGCCATGAAGGACCGCCAGCAGAAGGACATTTCTCAGTACAACCTGGAGATCCGAGAGCTGGAGCGTGTCTATGCCCACGAGACCAAGCTCAAGTCCTTCTTGCTTATCAAGCTGAATGACCGTCTGGAGTTCGAGGAGCAGGCCAAAAAGGAAGAAGGTACACTCTCCAGGCATTCTTTCTGGCTCCCTCTCAACTGAGGCGGCCCAAGGCCTTCTGGAGGAGGGTTGCCAAATTTAGCAAATAACATTATAAGATGTCTAGTTAAATTTAAATTTTAGATAAACAGTGAATAAATTTTTTAAATGAAATAAAAAGTTATTTGTTGGTTATCGGCAATTAGGACATGATGATACTTGAAAAAAAGACACGGTTCGTCTGAAATTCAAATTTAACTGGGCAGCCTGTATTTTATCTGCCAATCCTAACCCATAGGCTGTGTCCTTACTCTGAGGCTCCTCTTCTGTTGTTTGGGGGAAGAGACTTGGGTGTCGGGTCCCCAGGACTCCCCCCCAGGTTTGGTGACCCGCTGGGAAGATTCACGAGATTCAGCCCGTAGTGACGCGCACGCCTAGGCAGTCGGGGCACGGAGCACACGCCAACAAAGAGGAAAGGCACATGGGGCACAGGCTGGAGGAACCCAGGCACAAGCTTCCAGAACCTTCTCCCAGGGCAGTCACACAGGACATGCTTAACTCCCCTAGCATCTCCCTGTGACATGTATGAAGAGGTATCTACTAGGGGAGCTCATTAGAGCCTCAGTGCCCAAGATCTCACTGGGCGCTGGTCACATAGGGGTCCTCTCCCTGGCATACCCCAATTCCAGCCTCCTGGAAGGAAAGCAGGTGTTCAGCATGAACCACACACACACCATCTGCACAGCCTAGGCACAGTGAGGCACTCCTAGCGTTTAGGGAAAGTCTGATATCCATGTAGGGAACTGTTTACCATCTAAGTGCCCAGGTACGGCCACATGCCAACCTTGCAAGAAGAGCCCTTTCTGTGGAGAACAGTCTGAGGGCTGTTATTTTTACTCTCCCCTGAACAAACTGAAAAATCTGAGCTCTTTGGAGAACCCCCCCCGCCCCCACCACACACACACACACACACACACACACACACACACACACACACACACACCAGGCGACTGCATTTGTGCTTTGGGCTTTTGGCATTTCCCATCTTCTCATGCCTTTTCATTTGGGACTGTGGTGTTGCAAAAAGTGTGTTTCTGAGAAACCCCACCTCTCACTCTCTAAATAACAACAGGTAAAGGAGTCACATGGCCAGATGTGCCTAGGAAGATCTAAAAAGATCTTTGTGATGGCCATTTGGAGGTTAAATCAGAGACAAGACTGAGTTCGGGAAATGTGGGGCTGTGGTAGGCATCAGGTGGGAGAGAACAAAACTTGGAGAACTTTCTTGGTTCTAATTCCTTGAATTTGCCAACGTCTGAGCCTGCCAGCAGGTTCCCTTGACCTTCACCCCGCTCAAATATCACCTCGTTCGAGAGGCCTTCCCTGGCCACCCAGCTCCCCCATCACAGCATCTGATGCTGCCCCTCTGTGACCTGAGCCACAGTGTGGTGATGTACATCTTCTGTTTACGTGGGTATCTCCTTTTCTTTCCTCTTTTTGTCTGATTCCTCCACTAAATGCTCCACAGGGCAAGGATTTTGTGTCTGCAGAGCCCAGCACAGTGTCTGGCACCTCGTAGATGCTCAATTAAATATCTGTGAAGCGACTAAGGAGTAAAGCGCTTGCCCCCACTCCTGAAAAAGTCTAGCCTCCTCCCCAGGGCACAGTGACAACATTATGGAGCATGTCTCCCTGCCTGGCACTGCTCTGAGTGGCTTCCTTTCAGATTCATGGTTGCTGGCTTTTCCTTCCTAGCTCTCAAGGCAAAGAAGCACAGGAAGAAGAGCATGGGTGACAGTTTCGAGAGCTTTGAGGTGGCCCACCTCCGGCTGCTGAAGCTGACCAAGGATGGGAACCTGAATCAGCTCATTGAGGACTTTCTGGCCAAGGAGGAGAAGAACTTCGCTCGGTTCACATATGTCACAGAGCTCAACAATGACATGGAGACAATGCACAAGAAGACCCAGAGAATCCAGGTGGGGGCGGCTCTTCTTTCCTATAGGCCTGGGACGTGCACACCCTCACTGCAGCCTTTCTCAAAGCGGGTTCCTCAAAGCACACCTTGAGATGCCCTGTAAAGAGGGCCTCGAGGTCTAATTGGTTTGGGAAACACTATATTTCTTCAGGGATCCCCCCTTCCATTTTAACCTTTCTGAAATTAGTATTTGTCTTCCAACTGATGCAAACACATAATGTGGTCCTGCCCCCACACCCCCAATAGTGACATTTGTAATCCATGGCATGTTCCATAATCCAGGGTTCAGTAAACTATAGCCATGGCCAGATACAGCCTGCGGTCGGTTTTTGTACAGGCCATGGGCTAAGAATGGTTTTTACACATTTAAAGGGTTAAAAGAAAAAAAAAGAGGATATAGGCAAGAGAGATCATATGTGGCCTGCAATGCCTAAAATATCTCTCTGGCCCTTTGCCTTAAGAGCTTGCTGACTCATGTTAATCAACAGCTTCACAGAATTGAGGAGAGATGGTCAATCCATCTTGAAGAGAATTGAGGTACTTGAGCATCATAAAGGCTCTGACAAGTCCCGCAGTAAAGAAACCTATGTACCTTTGTTGAGTCCATAATTTCCCAAACTGAATTGGCTCCTTGGGCTACTTACTCCCCAGAACACACATAAACAGCCTTTGGAACTGTCTGCATAGCATAGAATCTAAACTCCTTAGTGTGACACTCAGGCCCCTTCAAAAATTTGGCTTCAACCTGCCTTGGCAGGTTCACCTCCCCTCATGACCCCAAAGGCGCCCTCCACAGCTGCCAGTCTCAGCTGTCCTCTGAGGCTTTCCTTGTCCCATTTCCTCCCCCACCTCCTGCTTTTCTTCTGATGAAATACTGCTCGTTAGTCCTGACCCTGCACAAATGTCACCACCACTGGGAATTCATTACTCCTCCCTTGGAGGTCCCTGTGCTGTTTGTATGGTGAAAGGAGCCACTTCCTTTTGCAACGTCACTGTTTCCTGAATATGGAGCAGGTGCATTGGCCATGTGCAAATAGCTAGTAGCCTGAATACAGGTGAAAACATTTTAATTTACTAGTTGTGAGTTAATTTTTATGAGGAGTAGGACAAATATAGTTTGCAAACTAGTGATTTAATTACTTAGGGTGATAAGTAATAATAACAGTAAACATAATACAATGAACACAATCTGGCTGATTGAAAGAAAACTATTAATAGACAGTAATCGAGAGTGATAGGTAATAATTGTACAGGTGACATGCGAACATGATAGGAATGAAGGTGGTGGTATCAGGGTGGTCATGGGAAACAGATGGCGTGCCCCAAGTGGGTAAATAGAGGTGGGTTTTTTAAAAAGGGACTATTTACAAAGGTTTAAGGAAATTACAAGGGGAAAGTGCAGGACCAGCGAGAGAGGGCTCCAGAATAGGTGTGAGGAAGGAGCTGTTTCTGGAATCAGGAATGAGGTGTGTGGAGGAGGGTTTCTCTGTGTTTCTCCTGGAGGGATTGTGGCCAAGCTAGTGACCTGCCAAGTTCGGTGGGTGGGGAGGGCAAGTGCCCCCAACCTCTTTCCACCCACTAATCTCCAGCTGGTGCCTCCCTTGGGTGAGACCCAAGCCAGGGGACAAGGGAGCCCAGAGCCGTAGCCCCTGGGGTGTGCAGCAGAGGGTGGGGAAGAGAGGCAGGTAGATTTGGGGAGAAATGGAACATGTCCAGCTCAGTGTGTGTAGAGGAGATGACGGTGGGGGGAGAGATGAGCTTGAACAGCCCTCTGTCTCCCTTCTGGAAGGTGATCTTCCAGGGGACAGGCACAGTTGTGTATTCCCTCTGCTTTCCTGATGCCCAGGATGGCCCTGCACACAGTGGGAGGCACCAGGAAATGGCTCCAAAACAATAACTGACCTTGACCTTGCCATTCACCATGAGGATAGTGTCCTCTCCTTCGGGCACACAGACTGTCTCTGTCAGGACCAGTGTGTCTGATGACAGATGGCCACTCCTGCCTTGTCTGGCCTCATTCTCCGCATCTGTAGAATGACCTACTTGGACTAGAGCAGTACTTTCCAAACTTCTGTAAAAAAAAAAAAAAAAAAAAAAAGAAATGAAATAAAATAAAATAAAGTAAAATAAAGCTACAGAACATTTTCATTTAAAGCCAGGTTGTGAGGAAACACGGTAGAGAAAACAGGTAAAACGGAGCAGCTTTGGATGAGCGGGTTGGGGTGTGCGAGGGGTGGCTGGAGGGGTTGCCTGGACCCTTACCTTCTTGTCTTCTTGTGGCACCTCTGCTCAAACTACGGTTCAGGTAAGAAAAATATATAAATCCAAAACAATTAGGATTCTAACAGCTGACTTCACCCCCTCCGGAGAGAGAGCCGGGGTCAGAGGTCGTAACTGGTTGAACCCCGCTCTCATTCTTTTGCTTGGTCTCCCCTTCCCCGCCAATTTAAAAATTATTAGTTGCCAACATTTAAAAATCAGGATATTCCACATGAAAACCTGGATTTCTGGTTTCTCCTGGAAAATCCGATCTGACGACTCTAGCCCCGCAGGCTCCACTCTGAGCTGAAGGCCCCTCGCTCACATCCACCCATACAAGCTGGGTGCCGTCCGCTCTTGTGTCCGCCGGGCCGGGCAAGCCTCTGGAGCTTCTGCCTCCGGTGTAGGCGCTTCGCCACTGCCCTCAGGTGGCCATCTTGAGTATTGCATGGAAAATCTTTGGACGCGGAGATCTGAAGGGTGGAAGAAAGATGGATGGTCCATTTGGGACCTGGGAAGTGGGCAGGTCATTTTCTAGCAGACAGCACCTTCCTAGTCCCAGTGGGATGACAGGGACAGACTATAGCAGAGGGATGTGAGGATGCTAGTCAGAAACTGACCCAATCAAGAAATGGTTCCTAAACAAAATTAACCTTGATCTTTGCCACTCCCCATGATGGTCTCCTCTCTCTAGGCTACACAGCCTGTCTCTGGCCTTAGCACGAGTGTATCTGATGAAGGATAGGCAAGCCCATGATCTCCCTGGGCTTCAGGCTCTCTCTTAGTAGGATGATGTTTGGACCAGAACAGTAGCTTCTGAGCTTTTCTTTGAAGTTATAGAACTGTGTCTTTTGGGACTTAATACAGCTGGAAATGCCTGCCGAATAATTCCTGAAAACATTCGTTTCTAGTGAAAATGCTTATATTTTAAAAATCTTATAAGAGAAGGATATGCTCATTATAGAAAATTTGGAAACTACTTAGGGACTGAATTTTTTAAATCATCCATTTTCCCATTCCCTAGGGATTGTCATTGTTGTTATTTTGATCTATTTCCTTCTGACTTCTTTTTTTGGGGGAGGGTGATGCCTTTGAAACTTCACATAGTGATTATCCTATAGCATATAGAGAGTTACATATTTTTTAAAAGATTTTATTTATTTGAGAGAGAGAGAGTGAGAGAGAAAAGCAGACTCCCCGCTGGGCAGGGAGCCTGATGCAGGGCTCGATCCCAGGGTCTTAGGATCATGACCTGAGCCGAAGGCAGATGCTTAACCGACTGAGCCACCCAGGCACCCCAAGAGTTACATATTCTGATTGCAAAAAATGTTCTTTTGGTTTTGTTTACCCAGCAAGTATTTATTGAGCACCTACTATGTGCCAGGCACTATTCTAGACACTGATTATGGCACAGGGAACAAAACGACAAAAAGTTCTGCTTGCTTGGAGCTTCTATTTTGGCAGAGAGAAACAATAAACAACAAGCCTAATAAATACATAAATTATAGGGTATATTAGAAAGTGAAAAGTGGTGTGGATAAAAAGAAAAAGTACAGCAGGTAAAGAGGGGTTCTGGAGCCAAATGAGGGCACGGGAATTTGAGAAGCTAAGATTTGAGCAGACTTGTAGGTGAGGGAATAAGCTGTGCAGATCTCTGGGGGATGAGTGTTCCAGGCAGAAGAAACAGCAGTGCAAAGATCCTGACGCAGGAAAGGTGCCCATTTATAGTACTGGGATCATTCTAGACTGTTCATACTGTTTTGAAAATCCCCCCCCTCCGAAATTCATCATAGACACCTCCCAACATTTTCTATGTTCTTTTTAATGGCTTCTGGGGATGTGGATGCTCTATAGTAGAATCATAAGCTACTTCTTAAAAATGCAGATTCCCCAAATCCTATCCCATACCTACAAACCTAGATTCTCTGAGAATGGGCTAGGAATCTGCATTTTTAACCATATTTTTATTTGAGACCCATTCCCCTCATGATATGAATGTGCCATCATTGATCTAACTGATCCACCATCAGTAGACATTTAGGTTGTCCCTAACTGGGGGCCATTATACTAATAACATGACAGACAGCCTTGAGTAGTCACTTTGCCCACATGTCCTACTATTCCATGGGACAGATTCCTAGAGATGAAATTACTCAAAAGGTAGCCTTTTCTATTTGGACACATTGTTCTAGCCCTAGGGGTTCTTGAATCTGGTCCCTGGATCAACCAGCAGCAGCAGCTCCTGGGAACTTTTGAGAAATGCACATTCCTGGGCCCCACCCAGAACTACTCGCCCACAACCTCTGGGACAGGGGCCCGGCAATCTGTGTTTTCACAAACCTCCAGATGATTCTGATTCATGCTAGAATTTGATAACCCCTGCTCCGGAGCTGCCTTATGTTCATTATAGTAGCACTAGCCATGTGTGACTATTTAAGTGTAAATTCATTTAAATTAAATAAAATTAAAAATTAGCTCCTCGGTGGCACTAGCCACACTTCGAGTGCTCAGTGCCTAGGAGGGGCTAGTGGCTGCAGGACTGGGTGGTGCTGAGGCAACACTGCCACCATTACCGTTCCACTGACTGTGCTGTTCTAGACAATTCTCCGAAAAGGATGAACCTCCCACCCACCCACGCCCTCATCCTCCTTTTAACTAAGAAACATCAGGGGCACCTGGGTGCACAGTCATTTAAGCGTCTTGATTTTGGCTCAGGTCGTGATCTCAGGGTCCTCGGATTGAGACCTGCGTCACCTTGGGCTCTGTGCTCAGTGGGGAGTCTGCTTGAGATTCTCTCTCTCTCCATCTGCCCTTCCTCTCTCTCTTTCTAAAATAAAAATAAACAAACCTTAAAAAAAAAAAGAGAGAGAGAGAGACATCAGAAAGAACCTCCATGGGCATAAGAGGGGCCCAGGGGCTTGGGGGCTCTCAAAACAGATAATTTAAATCCTCATCATCTCCTGAAGGCACAGGCTCAGTTTTAGGTGCGGTGGGAGGGGAGCACCAGCTTTTCCTTACGGTCTGGTTCTCTCATGAGCAGGATGAGATCATCTCCTTGCGATCCCAGCAGAAATCATCCCATGATGACAACCGCTCCGTCCTGAGAGAAATGGAGGTAACACTGGGGTGGGGAGGGAGGGACATGGGAGTCTCTGTTGTCTATCAGGCAGCCTGTCTGGTGGTTCTCGAGAGGAGAATATGGTATCTGCCGATGAGACTCTATTGGCCTGGCTCGTGTATTGACATGTCCTGAGCCTTTGTCTCGGGCCACCTCCGCTACAGATATTGCTGCAGAATTTTGTCCCTATAGCTTCTTTGTCCATTTTAAAGACTCCCCGACTTCAGGAAGCCTAGCCCAGGCACTTGTGCCTATAACTTCGTCCCAGGCAGAGCTCTGCCTCAGTATTTTTTTCTCTCCTCCTTGTGCTGGCTGTGGCCTGCTCTCAATCAATTAACAGTTATTATGAACATTTGTTGAGCAATTACTACATACCAGATGCTGGGATAAGCGCCTTGCTTCTATTATCTCATTTAATCCTCACAACAGCCCTATGAGGTAGGTGCTATGATCTCTACATTGTACAGATGAGACTGAGGTTCAGAGAGGTAAAGTCACTTGACCAACATTATGGAGCTGGGATGCTGTATAAGAGCTTTGCATTGTATTTAGTTGCTGATCACAAGGAACCAAAGTAACAATGGCTTAAGCAAGGTAGAATTATTTACTTTGTTAAGAAATAAGTTTGGAGGGGCGCCTGAGTGGCTCAGTCGGTGAAGCGTCTGCCTTCGGCTCAGGTCATGATCCCAGGGTTCTGGGATCGAGCCCCGCATCCGGCTCCCTGCTCGGTGGGAGGCCTGCTTCTCCCTCTCCCACTCTCTCTGCTTGTGTTCCCTCTCTAGCTGTCTCTCTGTCAAATAAATAAATAAAATCTTAAAAAAAAAAAAGAAATAAGTTTGGAGATAGGTCCTTCAGGGCTGGTCATGATGTCACCAGTGACCCAGGCTCCTCCTGTTTGCCATCTTTGGTGTGTGGCTTACATTCCCAAGGATGCCGCATGGTTGTATTGTAGCTGCCAATGATCCAGCCATCGCATATATGTTCCAGGCAGAAAGAAAGTCAGGGAGGCAAAAACAACAACTATGCTGCCTGTTGGGCAGCTTAAAAGTTTCCTTCCGTGAAGACTCAGTCAATGCCTTCTGTGTTTACATCTCACTGGCCATCTCTATTGCAGAGGAGGATGGGAAATAGAACTTCCGCTGGGCACATTGCCACCCCAAATACAATCAGGAGTTTGTTGTTAAGGTGTAAGGGGAGAATGGATAGCAAACGTCTGACAAAGATATGAACCCAGAGTGTGACCACACAGCCCTGCTCTAATCCAGTAGTTACGGCCCAGGAACTGTCCTCCTGGGTCATTATCCTTTCCTTCTCTGTGACCTATTTTCTTGGCGTGCACCTGGTTATCGGGATGGCAGTGCCATTCTCTAGTAGGCCACTGGGAGGCAGCAAAGCACAAGGCACCCATTTTGCCCCTCTGGCTCAGAGAGGCCTCTCCCAGGAATTAAACTTCCAGACAGGTCCCCAGTCCAAGGAGACCCTCCTCGAGCTGCGCACGTGCTTGGGGTCCCATGTCCTCAGCTTCAGGGCCACCCAGTGTCCAGATGCTTCCTTGGGGCTGGAACTGGTGCTGTTCTTCATCTTGGGGTTTTGAAGGCCTCAAAAGGGGCACACTGGGGAGGCTGGTGGGGCAGCCTCCAACATCTCCTCCACCTCTGAAGTCCCTCCATCCCCTCTTTGTTCCTTTGGTTGTAGCATGACTTCTGGAGGCCTCTTTTCAAATGAAAATACTCCACACAGGAGAATTTGTCTTAAAAGCAATGGGATCACAAGAGCCCTTGTTTCTTACCCCCTGCTAAAGACCGTTTACCTCTGTTCCAGTCTTGGAACCTTTCCACACACCTTCCATTCCATCATCTTCTGCTCCTCTGGGAGTAGTGGTGGCACCTGTCCCTTAACAGGAGGGTTTTGCCTAGGAGTTTGGCAGCCAGGCCCTGGGAACAAATGCTTGGGTATGACTCTCAGAAAAGTCACTTCCTAGCTGTGTGACTTTGAGAAAGTGACTGCACCTCTCTGAGCCTCTGTTTTCTCACCTGTAAAATGCGGATAATGATCATCCTCACTGCAGCGGGCCGCGGAGGTTCTGTCAAGTCATGCACGTACGCGCTAGGCATGCTGTGGGCAGAGAATTCTAAACGTAGCTATCACTGGGGTTGTCCTGTAAGTCAATGAAACCTCAAAATCACCACCGCCTTGGGCCTAAATAACTGCTCAAGAGATAAAGCTCAGGTCAGGCACTCAGACTACTCAGTAGATGAAGCTAAACACAAGTTTGTTTTTCTTCTCTGACCTCAGTATTCCTCATCTGGAAACCGAAGCAGTTGTGAGGAGGTGTTGAGGTGATGTGTGTGAGGTGTGTGAGGTGCTGTCACCACCACATCAGGCTCTCCGTTTAACCACGGGATCCCCTAATGCACCTGGAGATGGCAGATCTTGCCACCACCGGAGGTCTCGCAGCCCCGGGTGCTGGGCACAGAGGAAACTGCCCGGCGTGGCAGTTGAGTGACAGTCCAGATCTTGGCTTCCTTCTCCAGGCTGTGTGCTTTGGAGCCTCCGTTTCCTCACCTGGAAAATGGGGGGTGTGGATAGGACTGACCCTTTGGGACTGTTATTTGGGATGATGCATATGGAGCCACGGGGAATGGCTCCTCACAGGGCCTGGTTCACCTCAGCAAGCCAAGGACTCAGAGGGAGAGACAGGAAGTGACCCAAAGCTCTCACCCCCGAGCAGGGATTCTCAGCCCGGGGCTGCAAATCAGATTCTCCTCGGAGGCTTTAAAATTCCTGAGGCCAAGCCTGCGCCCCGGAATCTCTGAGGCTGGGGCCAGGGCAGCAGGTGTTTTGAAGCTTCCAGGTGATACCAATGGGAAGCCAAGATCCAATGGACTTGCAGGGTTTCTCAAATTTCACCGTACATCACAGTCACCTGGAGGTTCATTAAAACACACGTTTCCAGGCCCATCCCCAGAGCCTCTGAATCAGGGTCTGGACTGGAGCCCAAGAATTTGCATTTTGAACAAGTTCCCTGGTAAAGCCGATGCTCTTGGTCTTGGGACCCCACTTTGAGAACCACTGGGCTAGAGTGATGTGTTTTAAACTGCAAGTGGTAAAATCAGTTTGTTGGATCAAACCAGCATTTAAAAATAATGAAACAGAACAGAAAAGATTAAAACACACAATGAGAGCATTGATTTGTGAAACTTTCACTTCATTTGATTAGATAATACACATAAACACACACCCATACGCACATGTATGTATGTATGTATGCACGCGTACATTGGGCCGCAGTATAAAATGTATTCCTTCCTGTGGGCCACAACGTTAAAAAAATGAATCACCAGCTTCCAAAAGATACTGTAATCCTGGGGCGCCTGGGTGGCTCAGTCAGTTCAGCATCTGACTCTTGGTCTCAGCTCAGGTCTTGATCTCAGGGTTGTGAGTTCAAGCCCCACTTTGGGCCAATGCTGGGTGTGGAGCCTATTTTAAAAAACATTAAAAGTAAAGCAATCCAGTACACATATAAACACGTATATATATTGTAAGTGAAACAAAATGTCCATTTAACAATATTTCCCCTCTTTACCTGTAATGCATACTAGTATTTTCTCTTCCTTTCTTTTCTGTTCTATTTATTTTCTTTCTTTAAAATGCTGATTGAGGCTTAATAAACTGATTTTGCACCCCCTGAGAGGTTTGAAAATCTGTAGTTCAAAGACCCTGTTTCCAGAGGGTCCCAAACTCCCATTGGCACAGAAGGTCCTCATTGGGGGTGGGGAGCTGAGCCTAGGGTGTCAGTCTGGCTGATGCAGGGTGGGAATTGGGGTCTGTTACCAGGAGAAACTGAAGAAGACCACGGAGGAGGCAGATATGTATGAGAACAGCTATAAGGAAATCAGCAAGACCTTGGAGTATCTCAAGAACTCGGTGGAGAATCTGTTTAAAAAGATTAATTGTGATACCACCACAATCCTGGGGCACTTGGGGGAGACGGGGAAAATCACCGACAACAACCTTCCACAGTACCTTGGTGAGTCAAGCTGGGGCCCGTTGGACCATTAGGAACCATTTCCAGAGCTTTCTATGAGCAGGCACGAGGACTTGTTCTTTGGGTGGCGGTGAGCCTAGTGGTGAAGCATGTGGGCACTAACACTGGCCTGCCTGGGTTCAAATCCTGGTTCTCCTCTTACTAGTTGTGTGCCATTGGGCAACTTTCTGAACCTCTCCATGCTTTAGTTTTTTTCATCTAAAAAAAAAAAATGAGGAGTAAACCCAATGCCTACCTCATAAGGTTGTTGGGAAGATTAAATAAAATTTAATTTTAGTGAAGCTTTATGATCATATCAATAGAGACAGAAGAAGCATTTGACAAATTCAACATCCATTCATGATAAAGACACTCCACAAACTAGAACTGGAAGGAAACTTTCTTAACCTTGAAGGGTGTCTACAAAACACCTACAGTTAGGGGCGCCTGGGTGGCTCAGGTGGTTAAGTGTCCATCTTCAGTTCAGGTCATGATCCTGGGGTGCTGGGATCAAGCTCCACATAGGGCTCGCTGCTCAGCAGGGAGTCAGCTATCTCCTCTCCCTCTGCCCCTCCCCCCTGCTTGTGCTCTCTCTTTCTTTTAAACAAACAAACAAACAAACAAACAAACCTACAGCTAACCTCACCCTTGAGGGTGAAAAACTGAATGTTTTCCCTCTAAGATCAGGAATAAGGCAAGAATGTTTGCTCTCACTGCTCCTATTCAATATCATAGTGATGGTCCTAAGCAATACAATAAGGCAAGAAAAAGAAATGAAAAGCATACAGGTTGGAAAGGAAGAACTAAAGTGTTCGGAGCAGTGCCTGGCATGTAGCAAATGCCTATTTCACACATTTCTAGCCATAACCTGAGCTCAGGATAGAGCAGGAGGGATGCACCTCCACAGATCAGGACAATTTGGAATGAACGGCTTGCACAGCTCTTAGAATAAAACCTGTGGTTCTTAATACAATCTGTGTTTCGGAGTTTCCCATGATGCCCCCTCCTGCCAGGTTCAGTGATTTGCTAGGAGGGCTCACAGACTCAGCACATGGTGGTACTTGTGGCTATGATTTGTCACAGCAGAAGGATAAAAAGCAACATCAACAAAAGGAAAAAGGAGCCTGGAGTGAAGTCTGGAGGAAGCCAGGAGCAAGCTTCCAAGGGTCCTCTCCCAGTGGGGTCACACAGGATGTGCTTAATTCCCCCAGCATTGAGTTGTGACAATATAGGTGAAATGTTGTCAACCAGGAGGAGCTCATTAGAGAGACTGTGTCCAGGGTGTGGAAAATAAAACAGGTGTTTAGCAGAAACATGTTTTGTATACACAGTTTAGGCACACTGAGCTGCTATTATCAGTTAATGATGATAGGAACCTTCCTGAAACCCAAGTTCCTGGATGCCAGCCTGGTGCCAACCTGGGAAGCAGGCCTTTCAAAGAAGAGGCATGTATTGAATGGAGCACTGGGTGTTACACGCAAACAATGAATCATGGAACACTACATCAAAAACTAATGATGTATGGTGATTAACATAACTAAAAAAAAAGAAGAATAGCAGTCAGGACTGCTGTGTTAACTTCTTCCTGCCCACAGCCTATCGGGTTCTGCACAGCCTGGCCCCTGCTTCCGTTTCTCAACTCCCTCGTCCTACCCTTTGTCCCTGCTTACCACTTCAAGTCACACTCTCCTATGTATTCTTGCTACCCTCCCCTCAACACATTCCCACCTCAGGGCCTTTGCACAAGCTGTTCCTGGAATCCTTGTCCCAGTTCCTCCTCATTCTCAGATCTCAGTTTATTTTTTTAAGATTTTTTTAAAAATTTATTTAATTGATAGAGAGAGAGAGAGAGACAGCGAGAGAGGGAACACAAGCAGGGGGAGTGGGAGAGGGAGAAGCAGGCCTCCCACCGAGCAGGGAGCCCGATGCGGGGCTCGATCCCAGGACTCTGGGATCGTGACCCGAGCCGAAGGCAGTCGCCCAACCAACTGAAACAACCAGGCGCCCCTCAGATCTCAGTTTAAATGTCCTTTCTCTAGCAAGGCTTCCCTCCGCTGCCCCACCTGTAGCTGGTCTGCCCCCCCACACACACTATTATTCCCTGTCATGGCAGCCCCTTTATGTAGCAGTCACACAGTTTGTCTCCATATACAGGTGGCTCTCACTCTCTGAATCTATGAGGTTTTTGAGATCTGATAGCAAGTTCCAGATGCAAATATTTTTGGTTCCCGATTTTCAGAAGAATAGCCACAGTACAGGTGGTGTAAGTTTATTTAAAACATTGTATCCAAGTCCAGTAGTTACCTAATCCAGATAATGAGCATCTGTATAGCAAGGGATATGTTTATCTATTTGTTTCCTTGTTGAATTTGTCTTTCTTTCCATCTTCTTCACATACACTGAAACTTATGAGCTTCAACAGGTCAGGGACTGCATCTTGTCTTCGTTGTTACTGTTACCGCCGTTGTTTTTCCCCCGTGCATCTGGAGCATCCAGCACTGCGCCTGGCATGGCAGGCATCGATAATCATTTGTAGAGTGAGTGAATGAACACAAGCCTCTGGTGACAGTAGGGGCCTATGAAACACAGAGGAAGAGCACGTCCCCCCGAGTAGGCAGGTCAGAGAAATGTTCCTGCAGGGGGCAGAGCCCTGATCCAAGTCTGAAAACACCAGCAGGCCTTATTCACAGAGGGGTGTGGGGAAAGGCATTCTAGGCAGAAGGAACAGCATGAGCAAAAGCCCAGAAGCCTGAGACAGAGAGTGCGTAGGGGGAAAAATCAGTAGTTTAAGGGGCTGCCCAGGGCTCCCAGTTTTTGGTGTAACCCAGTGTTTCTCAACCTCCTTTTCATTATTGCCTCCTAAGGAAACTTTTTAGACATTCTTTTCCTTATTGTCGCCCTCAGGCAATTTTAACACTCTTGATACACTATATAGTTGTTTATGTTCTGTATGCATATCTGTTTTATGTTATAAAGTCAGGTTTGTTGTTGTTGTTGTTGTTTTTGCCTCTGAACTACCAAATTTTGCCCCCCCTCGGGGTGATACTGCCCCCTGGAGAATGCATGGGATAACCCACAAGAAAGGCCTCCTCATGTTCCTTCCCTTCCTCTCCAGCAGGGGGCGTCACCCCAAATCCCTACCCCGCCTCCCCACCCCGAACCAGGTCTCTCGGCTGCCGTCTTGGTTCTGATGGATTTTTTTTCCAGCCATCATTGAGAAGAAGACCAATGACCTGCTGCTGCTAGAGTCCTACAGGCGGATCCTGGAGATGGAAGGGGCAGAGACTGAGGTCCCGCCACCATTTGTCAACCCTTTCTGGGGCGGCTCTGCCCTCCTCAAGCCTGCAGAACCCATCAAGGTCATCCCCCCAGTGTTTGGGGCTGACCCCTTTGGCGACAGGTTGGATGAAGGTGAGTTCTCTTCCTCCTGCGACCTGCGCATGTTGCTAGGAGACCTGTGCCGGTGAGAGTGTGCAGGCTAGAGCCTCAGTTTCCCTTTATGAGCCTCGTGGGCCCATGTGTTCCATTGGGTTCCACCGGGGTTGTGGCCCTTGACTGTTTCCCCGGGGGATGCTTCTCCTCAGGGCGCAATGAAGATCCTGGAGTTTAGTGATCCTGGATATATATATATTTTTAAGCACTACTTTGTGACCGTTTCAAATGAACCTTAAAATGTCCACAGTTTACAAACTGGCAAATTGCAGGCACACGAGGTTCCCTGATCCCATCTGTCCCCCTCCCGCTATGCCCCTGGTCTTACTCTACCCTTGGCCCGCCCCAACCATGTCCCCCAACCTCATGGCTGAAGCGGCTGTGACTTGGCTGGTGACAGAAGCAGATGTCTAACTGTGGCGCCTGGGGCCAGGCTGTTGACCTTCCCGCCTTTCTGGGGCTGAAGCTCAGGACGCTCCCCTCACTGTGGGAAGCAGCCCTTCTCTCTGGAGGTGGGGAGAAAATCGGCCACCTGGGTTTTGGAGGGCAGTGTGGTCACAGGTGTGGCAAGCCTGAGACATGGATACACCTGTTAAGGCCATAATCTCACCCGCACAAACTGCTCCTTCAAGAAACCTTTACTCAAGGGTCCAAGATGAAAGTAGGACGATGTTCACTGCAGCCCCAAACTGGAAGTGACTGAAATGCCCACCCATTAGAAACTGGTTACATGATACCCTCTAGTTCCATCCACGTCGTTGCAAATGAATTCAGTTCACCCATCCATGCAATAGGAATACTGTGCAGACGTGGAAAAGAACGCAATGGGACAATATAAACTCTCACACACAGGGAATATCAATTATATATATAATTGTAATAAATATGGATTATAAGAATATATATATATATATATATATATATATATATATATATATTCAGTAATTCTCAACCTGGGGTGATTTACCCCTTAGGGGACTTTTGGCAATGTCTGGAGATATTTTTGGTTATCACATCTGGGAGGTGGGGGGTGCTGTTGGCATCTAGTGGCCAGGGATGCTGTTAAAAATCCTCCCGTGTACAAGACGGCCCTTGACAACCCTGATGTATAATGAGGAAAGAGATGTATATAATGAGAGAGAGAGTGAGAGAGGAGGAGGAAGAGGGAGGAAGGTATCTTGATAATGCATATAAAAACAGGGTTTTATAGGCTGACTTACAGTGGGTACTTCTGGTGGTGATTTACAGAGAACTTTGCATTTCTAAATTATTGTCATTCTGTATTGTTTAAATTTTTCTTTTACAATGATCTTGAGCAGCTTTAGTAATCAGAGAAAACTGGATTTTTTAAAAAAAGTTGTCCCACTTCCCTAAGTAGCACTTCAGGTGTGCAGGTGTGTCAGGGACTGGGGGAAGTGTGCCAACACACAGGTGCTGCGCGCACACACACACATACCCCCTCCTGTTTGATTTAGTCGAGGCAACAGAAACTTAGCAGGAGTGAAACCTGGGTCTGGCATTAGCCACCTTAGCACAGCTTCCCTTGGCCCTTTGAGTTCCTAAAAGGAGGGTGGCAGGGCGCAGTGCTCGTAATGCTGCCCGCACAAGGTCAGGAACTTGCAGATGATGTCTTCACTTCTGCTCAAGGGAATGTTGATAATCATTGCGTTCTCTTAGCACTAGTCTCTATGGCTCATATGTATGAATTCGAAGAGGCGCCCCCTCTGGACAGATTGAGAAAAGGGGCCCCTTCTGTGCGGACATGGTTTGGCAATCAAGTAGGGGTTGGATTTCAGCCCATTCATTCACCTGTCTCCACCAGATGTCTGGGCAGTCTACATCCTGAACGACTGCACATGGTAGCCCTGTCTCTTTGACATTAACCTAAACTCACCTTCACATCCTCTTCTGGGAGAAAAAAAAAAAAATTATTGTCTGGGCATCCCTGTGCGGTATATCTCTATTAATGTTCTTCCTCCCTGAACCTCAAGAATGCTCACCCTCCACTCCCAGCACGGTGGAGGGACCCCAAACCGGGCTTGGACATCCTTGCCTTGGGCATCCATGAACGGGGCAGAGACGCACTGTCCCTGGAAAGGAAGCTGCCTACGCCCACCCCATGCTGGGTTTGACTTCCGAACTCCTCACACAAATCCTTTCTTTGATACAGTGGAGCAGGCCCTGGACCACAGCAGCCTTCGGCAGCTGGTGCTCAGCAACTATACTGCGAGAGAGTTTCAAAGCAGGGACTTAGACAGCATACCGGAGAGGGGTGATGATCTGAGGCTCAAGAAGAAGTTAGTGATCTGAGGCGGATGGGGCTGCGTTTGTACCTTAACCAGAGAAAATAAAGGTTTTGTTCCGTAACCCTAGTGCCTCCTCACACGCATTACAAAGAGACTAGACTAGGGTTCTGGGAGCCACCCTGGGATGGAATAGAGAAATTAGAACAGAAGAGCTGAGACAGGAAGCAAGAGTTGTAGGAGGTTACCATGGCTCCTGAAACCTCCCCCCCACCCCCGAGATTGTGACCAGAACAAACCACTAGTACCGCTGAAATTAGAAATTAACCTTATAGTTAATGGATGTGATTCTTTGCTGAATGAGCCATAGTCTTAGAATGAATGTGAGGCCTCTTCCTCTTCATTTCTCATGGGGCCCGTCTAAGCACATCTAAGGGAGAAATATTCCAATGGCATCCTAAAGGAGAGGATGTCATGGAAGCTAGGCTCTACAGATGCTTGAGCTCTTTGAAGAGAAGGGCTTTGGTCCTCTAGTTAACATTCCACTAAATCGTGGCCCTTCATAGAAATAGTCCTGAGTGGCTGTGAAGGTCTATTTCAAATAAAGAGTTATTAAAATTCAATAATAATGACAGCAGGGACATCACTTGCTCATACTCTGCCTTCATGGGAACTAGCAAAGGATCTTCCTTATTCAAGGCACTTCTGTCAGAGAAACACCGCGAACAAATACACAACATCCTGTTTATTTGAACACAGCTTCTGGATGGATTTCCATCTGCAGGATGTGTGGCCACCTGGTATCTATATGCCCCTGAGGCTGCAAGGAAGATGGAGGTGGATAATGAGGCAGCCACAAGCTAACAGGCCAGTAGCAGGGATGGCAGCATTACTGGGCAAAGTGAGAGGAGAGCAGGGACCACCCCTCCCCACCAAAGACAGGCCCAGGGTTGGGTGGTGAGCCCCTTTCAGTCCTTCTCTTCCCCATGGGTGATGATGTGCACCAGGTTCTTATAGTCCAAGTTGCCAGTCACATCAGGGGGGAAGGCGGCGAACATCTGTTCAATCTGCAATGAACCAGCAACACATACTGAGCATGACGGGAGGGGAAGCGAGAGGGACCGCTGGGTGTGGGCTTGGTCTCCGGGCAGAGGCAGAGGCAGCAGGGCTGTGGTGGGTGTGGAGACACGACACTCAGGTCCCCTTCCAGGAAGGCCTTGTCACTCAGCTGCTGCAGAGAGCTGACAGCCCCAAGGTCATGGCCTTCCTGGGGCAGCCCACAGCCAACTGATCAGTGTGGGGCCCAACTTGGGACCTTTAGAAGGGTATGCTAGCTCTAGGGCTCCCTGGGAGGTGGGGGGAAGCCAAGACACTCTTTGGGCCTGAACTGAGGTTCAACATCTCCCTCCATGCCTCCCCCATCGGCCTTGTGCTGACCCCATGGGCCATCCTGCAGGGATGTTCCCAGGAATCCAGCCTGTAGTAGCAGGTAAAGCAGGGATTGCAAATGCAGGTGTACAAAGGGGCTAGGCAGATTGTGTAAGGGAGCAAAGGGGGGCCTGTGGCTAAAAGCAGACACACAACCAATCTACAGGGGCAGCAACTGGGCAGAGCCAGCTGAATGTTGTCGAATGGGCTAGGAGGTCACGTTTTTTGAGAGAATCTGACTCCTTGAGGGAAATGAGAAATCTAGATTTTTTTTCAACATGTAATTTCCACATTTAAAAAGTATTGACTAGTTATTTTTTAAAATACCTATTGGCCAATAATTGCTAACACATTGTCCTTATCACATGCTTCAGCACATTATGCATATTAACTGGTTCAATCCTCACAGCGTACTACCAGGAAAGTTTTATTACCATCCCCACTTTACAGATGAGGGAACTGAGGCACAGTGGGGTTAAAGAGCTTGTCCCAAGGCACCAAGCTGGTAGGAGGTGAAGGCAGGCTCTTTTAAGTGCTTGAGTTTTAGGGGGAAATCTAAATACAATTTTTAGTGAAATGTGAAACCTCATGCCATCAGGCCTGAGAAGGAGCTATTTTTAAATATTTCATTAATAACATTGACAGGACTATTGCTTATTGATACAGGACTTTGGGTGAATTAGCAAAAGTGCCCCCTTTTCCACCTGCCAGAAAAAGTCATATATACTGCTTTAAGAAAAAAATAAAATTACAACAGGACACTTTACTGCCATCTGCTGGAAAACAATTGCAACAAATAGATACTCTGCAATATTATTTTATGAGTACAGCATCCAGAAGAATTGCACAGTGCGGAACCTACATGACTGTATGTGGCACCCTGCAAGGCACCCTCACTACATCAGGAAACTGGTGCTCTAACCAGGGCTCCGTGCACTGTGAGGAAAGTAGCCCTGGAGTCAGACTGACCTGGCTTTGAATCCAGGCCCCAGAGTTTAGCATTGGTGGTGTCCTTTAAGGCAAGTGACTAACTTCCCTGGGCCTCAGTTTCCCCAACTATAAAATGACAATAATACTAGTCCCTACCTCATAGAGTGGTTGAGAGAATGAAATGAGATGGGGGCTCAGTAGCAGGTACTCGGTCAGTGTGGGGCCAGGGGTGTTTTAGGAAAGGGGGTAACACGGGAGCTGGGGTGCAGTATGTGTCCAAGGGGCCATTACCTCCTCTTTCGAAAATCTCTCTGCCTGCGTGGTCAGCATCTCCCGAACGCTGCCAAGAAAGAACAGCAGGTGTTGGCACTAGGTGTGTGTATGGGAAGCAGGGGACCCCCATGTCTCCCCCACACATCCCACTCACTAATCAGCCTTGAGCACCCCTTTGCCTTCGGGGTCAAACACTTTGAATGCGTTGAGAATGGTCTCCTCGGGGTCTGCCCCTGAAACAGAAAACAGGGTTGAACATGCCATGGGTGGCCGAGAACCCATGGTACTCCAGGAGGCAGGGCCCAACTCCCTCCAAAGATGGAAGGGCCAAAGCCAGGCTGTTTTGCTTGGAGGAAAGGCCCTGCCTTCCTCTGAGCACTGAACCTTGGTAATTGGAAAGAGTGGGCTGCGAATCCAGTCATTTCTGAGCAAACCCAAACTCAAGCGTGGATCTAGATTTAGAAAGACAGAGATTCGAATCCTGGCTCCAGCATTTGCTAGCTCTGTGGCCAAAGACAAGTGGCTTTCCATCTCTGAGCCTTAGACCCTAGGGATAAGAAGAGAACCTACCTCCTAGATACTAAACGAGGTAATGCATCCAAAGTGCGTGGCATGAGGTCTGGCTCAGGGTGAGCCTTGGAGCAATGGGAGCTGCTGCTTTTTTTTTTCTTCCCCCAGTGTTACTCTGCCTTCATCTTCTGCCAACCTTTGTCTGCCCTCCTGGTGCTTTAGTTCATGCCCAAAGATGAAGACACGTAAAGACACACAGAGATGCACAGATGCAGTCAAACATACACAAATATACACGTATGGACCTACACATGAACTTACCCTTAAGTTTCTCCCCAAACATCGTTAGGAACACAGTGAAATTAATTGGACCTGGAGCTTCCTTGAGCATTTCATCAATTTCCTCATTTTTCACGTTCACACGCCCTAGGGCAGGAAAGACACAGTCAGGGCCCCCCCAGGCTGGGCCGGAAACAGCCGTCAGGACCCTGGCATTTGCCCTCGTAATTCCATTCGAGGGAATCTCGTCTAGGGACAATCAGAGAAGGAGTGGGCGGGCCAGATTCACTGGAAAAGATGTTCTCCACGGTGTTATTTATGATAGCCAGACAGCTGGAAACAACCCACACATCCAATGGGGAGAGGGGCTAGCTACTTTTATAGTGGTGTCTTCAGAACCTGGAACATTTTAAACAGATCTCTTTTTTTAATTTTTTTAAAGATTTTATTTATTTATTTGACAGAGATAGAGAGCCAGATCTTTTAACTTTTTACTTAAATGGGAAATGTTCCTATTATAAATTTTTTGATTTTTTTTAAAAGATTTTATTTATTTGACAGAGAGACACAGTGAGAGCAGGAACACAAGCAGGGGGAGTGGGAGAGGGAGAAGCAGGCCTCCAGCTGAGCAGGGAGCCCGATGTGGGACTCGATCCCAGGACCCTGGGATCATGACCTGAGCCGAAGGCAGACGCCTAACGACTGAGCCACCCAGGCGCCCTGTTCCTATTATAAATTATCCCTCTCAGCTGGAGGTGGGAGAGACAGATCAGAATCACCTGGAACTTTTTCAGATTATACCAGCTGTAACCCACACAACCTCGGAGATTCCAACACGCCTGTGCTATAGCCCCTGCCACGAGTCCACGTTGCACCTTTGTGCAAATTTTTAAAAGCCACCCCTTCTTAAGATAATTTATGTTTTAAATATAAAAATCTACGGTGACTACAGACATGAATAGTAATCTGTAAAATGGTGTAGTGCACAACCTACACAGCTGTTCCTGGAAGCCCTGAGTTCTGGGAGTGGGAGTGGAGTGGGGGTGAGTGGTGGCGGGTTGGACACATATTTTGAAAAAGCTCCATACACTTGTGCTCACACTGTTGAGATGTTAAATTTAAAAAGGTGAATCCAAAATAGAATGATTCCAATCTTAAAACAGCCACCACCACCACAACAAAAAAAAACCTCACAAAAAAACAGATGTATCTAGAAAAGATTTGGAGGCTGAAATGTGACAGTGGGATGTGACCTAGTGGTTAAGTTTTCTTCTTTATACTTTTCTGAATTTTTCAAATTTTTCTATTGTGAGCTGGCATTGCATTCAAAATCACAGAAAAAAATTATTTTAAAAGAAAAATGAAAGATATGTGAAGACACTTAAAGCCTAAACACTTTGCTGTTTTCCGAAGTTTGTCTTAAAGGCCAACCATGATTGAGCCGTTTCTTGAAAAATGACAAGCTCTTGACCTTTTCAGTGGTCCCACCTTCTGCCCCTCAGGCAAGTGGGATAAGGAGACCCTCCTGCACGCCTAGCGGGGTGGGGGGCACATACCAAGAGCAGCAAAGGTATCCCTCAAATCATTCTTGTCGATGAAGCCATCCCTGTTCTGGTCCATGATGGTGAAGGCCTGTGGAAGGGGGCGGTTGGCTGGTCAGCCCAGGAGAAGTTGG